TTAGGCCTAGGTCACTTTACATGTCATTTTATTTGTGATGCTTTCAGAGATCAATTTTGATATATACCATTTTGTACCATTAGAAAGCACTTCTTCACTTCTATTTATATATTAAATTGATTTCTACTTAGTAATTTATTATCAATATAACAAAATATATTTGGGTTGAGTTAATTAAGTGATTAGCCGATCATCATCGTGTGAGCTCTGCTAGTGCTTTTTCCCTAGCCATCTCCACTCGTCAAAGGAGTTCACCTTCTGCACTTCACCACCTCTCCCGCTCAAGGAAGTTTCATCTAACCTTAATGGTTGCTCTCTTTACCTCACAAAGTGTTTTTTGACTTTCTTGGATTGCTCTTTTTGCGACTCCGTGATTATTCCACCTTCATTTTATCGAATGGTGGTTAATCAGGAGAGACTGAGTGATCCTGACTTTTTGAATGGGAAATCTAAATTTAGTTCTTTTCTTAATGCTCTTTTGGGGGCTTCATCTTTGGTGCCATATTCGGTTCTTACAACTTTGACTTTTTGTGGCTTGTCATCACTTTGGATTTTGGGAAAAGAGGTTTTGGCACTTGCTGCCCCTTTTGTATTTTATTTAGATGAAAAGTTTCCTAACTTTAGGCCTCCTCTAGATTTGATCAAAAAAATTCTTTATTAACCTATAACTTTTGGTGAGTTTTTGATTACTCTGTTGGATCCTCAGCATGTTTTGATACAATTGAGTAGTGATATAGATTATTGTAGAATTTTTTTTCTCACCGTTCATATTTTGTTAGTAATCATTTCATGAAACTTACTAATTAGTCCCCTTTTTTCGACATAAATGAGGAATCGCCTATTATTCTAATTTGGGTCTTATTCTTAAATCTACACCGCATTTGTTTTCTCCTCTATCTTACATGGGATTGGTTCACTTTTTAGTTATTTTCTTCATACTGATACCATCATCTCTAATGGCTCTCATTTGTCGGTTGCTCCTATGTTGGTGGAACTAGACATAATGAAATATTATTCTATCAGTGTTTGGATTGTTCTTGAACTTTTTGGCTATATACAAAACATATTAATGGATGAATTCCCCTCCTTTTGTGAGCATTGAAAATTATTGAGTCATTTTAAAAAGGAATGTGTTAGCCTGCATCCTCATTTAGCTAAGGAACATCATATTAATGTTAATTAAATGAATGTTCCTGTTCAAAAAAAAAAACCTATCAGTTATCTCCTCTTGTAGATAATAGTCCCCCAACAACTTTCTCTGTTGTTGCAAATTTTGTGGATAATTCTAAAGGTTTTCCTATTTCTTCCACTTCATTTCCTATTGTTATTGATCATGAAGTGTCTTTAAATTTGGTTGATAGAGGAGAAGACATTATGGTTGATGTCAGGGATAATAACATTATTTAGGATAATATTCTTGTTCGTATGGCTAGTTCTGGTTACTCTGATCCTCTAATATGGAGCCAATTATTGATATTAATTGTTCTCCAATTTATGATCCGGATTTGGTCTCATTAGGATTGGATAAGTCTCTTGTGAATGGATTAACTGATGGCCCTTATGTTGATAATATTAATCGGTTGCATGACTCGTTAGGTGTTGTGAGGAATGTTATGGATGTGAGCATTGGTAATTATCATGCTTTGCTAGAGGTTACTGTTTTGAATGTTGTTCAAGTTGATCATGAGGGGTTTATTTCTGTGGTTGGAAAAAAAAAATAAAAAATTTAAATATAAAAAGGTTGTATAGAATTCACTACAGGAAAATCACACATTTCCGGCGGAACTTTCCGGTAATTAATTTTCCGGTGGCTTTCCAGCGGCGTTCCGACCGAAAACAATTAAACAACTTTTTCGATGAAATTTTCAAGCTGTTTTTTTCCAACGAAAATTTTTGGCGGAATTTCTGGCAGCTTTTTCAAATTTCTGGAGGAATTTTAAAAATTTAATTAAATTGATTAAAATTTTAACTATTTAAATGATTTAACAAAAATGATTTAAAATAAGATTAACTATTTAATTAATTTTTATTTTAAAATTAATTAGTAATTTTTATTTTATATTGATTATCATTTTTTTTATTTTTACAATTAAATTAATTAGTATCATTTTTTATTAGTATAATTAAAAATTACTTTATTTTGGGTTAATATATAGTTTAAATATAAAAATTTGACATTTAAAACGTATTTACATGTCCAGCAATTTGGTTGGTTCTTTGAGACATTTCCCAGCGAACTAACGCGGGAGAGAGCGGGTTGGCACGTGAGTGGGCTAATCGTGGAAGCGGGCGGGCGGGCGTGGGAGAGAGCGGGTTGGCAGGCTAGCGCTGGAGCAGGCTGGGCGCTGGAGCTGGTGGGATTGCGCGAGATCAGGTAGGTCTCGGAAGTGAGTGGGCTGGTGCAGGCGGGGTGAGGGAGTGCCGGCTACTAGGCAGGAGAGAACATGAATTTTTTTAATTATTTTTTTTAATGTTCCGACAGTTTAATTTCGCCGGTAAGCCGCCAGAATTATTTTTAGCTAGAAAACCGCCATAATGTATTTTCCTACTCGGGTTTTACCGGTGGAATTTTTTCCGTCGGAAAACCGTTGGTAAATTTGAAAACCACCCGAAAATGATCAATTTTTGCCATAAAATTCTACAAGTAATAGATGATTTTCTTGTAGTGATTTAAATATATATATGTAGGAAAAAACCACCGGAATTTATTTTCCTAAGCCGTTTTTACCGGTGGTATTTTAACCGCCGGAAAATTAAAAAACCGTCGGAAAAGGCTCATTTTCCGCCGGAAAAGGCCGCTGGAAATGGGTGATTTTCCTGTAGTGCTTGTTCTAAAGCTTCTTGACATTTCCCTTTTTGGTTTCATCTTTGGTGTGGTCTTTCTGCCTATTGTATTTGTATTTTCAGTTCTTTGGTTGATGGTTTGGTTCTTGGGCTTGCTAAGTGTGGTGGCTATTCTTGGGTGTTGTGTGGCTGTCCAGGGTCGATTTGGTGTTGTGTTGATTGTGCTCTTGGTGGTCGTTCATGGGTGTTTCTAGGGTGGTGTCTCCCTATTTTGTTCCTTGTTGAGTGGTACTAGCTATATGTAGGGTGAGTTTCTTCTCTTATAGATCAACTGGTTGGTGGTTTCTGTTTTTGTCTCTTATCATGGTGTTTGGTTTGGCTCCATGTCAAGTATTATTTGTGGTTTTTGCTTGTGTTTTGTGGTTGTCTCTCTTTGTTTTGCATTTTGCTTCCCTTTTGTTGTTCGTTTCTTGGCTATGTCTTGTGCTGGTTGCTGGTTTGTTCTCCCTGAGGGCTTCTAGCTAGGTTGTTATTCCTTTTCTTTTTTTCCCATTATTTGTTGTAACTAGATTGGATCATAGGCTCATAAGTTAAATTTTTTTTTTTGGATGTATTTGTTTTTTTGTTTTTGAGAATAATTGATCCTTTAAGGACTTCTAATCCCTTTTTTAGTAACGTATAGGTTCTTTTGTGGGTTTTATAAAAAAAAGAAAAAAATAATAATAATAAAATAAATATATCAGAGTCTATAAATTGCCTAGGATGATATAATCATGATTTTTAATTATTTAAGTTATCAATATGTTAAAAACTTTCCTCCAGGCATAAAATTTGATTAGCTCCTCTTTTGCCCCAAAGAAACCATTGCAAATGCATATTTTAAGTGCACAAGCATCAGCTTGCTTAATCAACAAGCTCCCTTCCATGAGAGATGTGATTAACCTTAGGCACTTCTACTTAAAAACATTTAAACCATGAAAATGAAGTCCTTGCAATATGGAGAAATTTCATTAAAATTCCTTTTCACCACATAATTTATCTCCTAAAAGATAAAGAATAGCTAAGTTTCTCAATCTTTATTTCAAAACCGGCAATCATTCCCATAGCCCAAGTGAGGGATGTAAATCATAACTAAGTTAAAAAAAAAAAAAAAAAAAGTGAAAAAAACATAACTAAGTTAAAAAAAAAAAAAAAAAAGATTGAAAATTACTTCACACAGTTAGAATTACCTTTCTACCTCATCAAAACATCTTTTAAGCACCTTGCCTTGTATTTCTGTCAAGAAAAAAAGAAGGAAGAGTATCTGACCAACAGAGTCATTCTCCAGCTCCATTCTGAACAAATTCAAGAGGCTTTGCCTTTCATAACTAAGGCTTCGTTTGTGACGACTTTCTTACTATTTCTTAAAGCAGCGCAGAAAGAAAATCATCCCAAATGAAACCTAAGTAACTAACTCTTAATAAATTATGTATATAAGATTTTTTTTTTTTTTGACAACCCATTCAAAATAGGTGATGTCCCAAATCATTCAAAATCGTCCATGCTCTTCAACAACAATGTCATCAATCTCTTCTATCATAGTATTTATGGAATTTAACATTTGATGTGAACGATGATCTATCTTGACCTCTCTCCATCAGAAAATTCAAATAGATTTATTCTCCATGCATGATAGCATATCCTCTGGTCGTGAATAGGATTAAATACAGCTCTTGCACATTGTATTTGTAATACTCAAAATATTCTTCAAATATCTTAGATAATCAAGTAAATTAAAAAGTCAGACTTCCATAAATTCAAAATTTAAGAATGTTAGTTAAAGGAAAAAAAATAATAAAAATAAAATTGCTGTCATTCAACATCACGTTGTTTTCTCATTCTTTTCTAAAATTATAATATAATACATAAAAGTAAAATTAATAATATCATTATAAATTCTAAGGCTCAAATTTGAATCCGTAATTGTGGAGAGAAGAAATCACTGAACTGCTATTTTAACTGCTCTAGCTAATTCGGGGCATTTGATGCAACTAAGTTTAAGGATTACTGTTGCATTAGTTAGCATATTTCGGCTTACATTAAGCTTCTAAAATGCGTAGAATCTCTATCTCCATATATATATATATCTCTCTCTCTTTCATTCTTTCTTTCTTCTTCTCTCTCTTTGAAAGAAAACTAACAGTCATTGAGACCTGACGTTGGTGGCGTTGGAAGCCATGAGTACTCCCATAAAAATCTGTCCCGAATGGTAGAACGCATTACCTTTCCTTCTGCATTCTCCATTATAGCCTCTTCTAATATAATTACTTTGAATGCGTTAATTATGTTTAAACAGAAATTATATTAACTTGTTTGAATGTTTATCTGTGTAATTAAATGCAGCGACAATCTACTCTACCCAAAAGAAGATAAGAAGCGCAAGATCCTACTCAGTGCCTGTCGCACCTGTAGTTACACGGTTCCGTATCAATGAAAAAAAAAATATAATTACAGTAGACTTCATATTGAATAAATGAACTGACAAATTTATTACAGGAGATGGCGGAAAGAAACCGCGTGTACAGAAATGAGATAACACATATCACCGAGAGACCTCAGATCTTGCGAGATGCTTATGCGGATCCCACACTTCCTCGTCAAAAGGGACTCAAATGCCCTGTCTGCAACCATCCACATGTTGCATTCTTCTTGGTTAGCTCCTCTTTATTTATACATTTGTATATATGTTAATTAACTTGAATTCCTTCTTGTAATGGCTTCGGACGATGAATTAAGAAATAGGGACTGAAAACACACAAGAAAGTTAATTTTTATTTTTTATTTTTTCTTCAGTTAGATTCCATATGTTTCAGGCTTATTAATTTTGAATAGTTATTATAAAATTATTTTTAATACATGCAACATTATTATACTTGAAAAGGTTGGAATAGCACTGGTGGCTAGAGAGAGTCGTCTTAGAGGGTTTAAATTCAAAAAACGTTAGCTGTTGGATGACTTGATTAAGAGACTAGGTGCATTCGATTGGGCCTATGTTAACAAATTAACGTAGAGATAGACCTAAAAATACTTGATTAGAAAACATTAAAAAAACCCATTTTATTAAATTTAAATGAGAATTTGACTCTTAATTAATATGAGACAATGGAGAAAAAGAATTCTTTTTGCCAACCCCTCATAGTGGAATAAAGTCTTGATGATGATGATGTTGTTGATACATCATTATTATATTTGCATACATATTAATATTTTTTTAAATAATAAATGTATCTTATAGATATATTATTATGCATTAATCCCCTGTTGATGTCATTGTTGATACATCTTTATTACATTTATTGCAGACATATTGGTATTTTTTAAATAACAAATGTATCTTATAGTTATCTTACTATGCATTAGTCCCCCACCCCGATGATGTTGTTGTTGACACACCATTATTATATTTAGCGTCAATACTTTTTTTTTTAATATTATTATTTTTGGACGTTGCAGATTAATCCGACGATAAACTTCGCTCGAATGTATGCTTGCTGCAACCCAAGTTGTTGTCATAACTGGAGAGCAGATGGTCAAAGCATTACTTAATGATTGCTTGCTGTTTAATAATTACATTGACTATTATGAGAGTAATGAAAATAAAAAAAAAGGGAGAAGAGCTTCATCCTTCCACTTGAAAACTAAAGTATGGAATTATTTTACTGAGTAAAAAGGAGACAATTAGTGTTTACTTGAATGTCTTGGCAAGGGTTTGCGAAGTTTGATGTCACAATAGCAACCCTACATATAATCATTCACAAGAGAAAAAAAAAGTTTTTTTTTTTTTTTTTGTATGATCAAACTAGAAATGCTTGCTTATAATTTTGTACTTTCCTATATAAATTTTTTTATCTCATGGGATAGTCTAATAAAAAATTTATAATAGTAATTTTCTTAGGTAAATTGTTTGATGGATCAAATTTGACGTGCCAATTTTAATAATTGAATTTATTTACTCTTATATGCTGATAATAATAATAATAATAATAATAATAATAATAATAATAATAATAAGATTTTTTGGTACTTTATAATTAATCACTTTTCAGCCCACCCATTAGAGATGCTATTTTGCTGTGAAAAATAGTTTCATTATATATATATATATGAACATATTAATCTAAAACAATTTATATTGCTTTCTTGTACAATCTTTTTGTCAACAACATGAACATGTGTTTTTTTTTTTTTTAACATGGTACTTTGATGGTGTAATTCCAATCTGTTAGAATTAACAAAACACCTTAGGAAATTTAATAGACATGTCAAGCAAACATCAATCAATATACTGAGGAAGTAAGGCTATTAATTTGCATTTGTGTATGTGTGTGTGTTCGGAGGGGTGGTTGAAGTAATTATACACCGCAATATGTTGATATGAACAGGTTAAATTGATTATGTTCACTAAAGATTTAACTATGGCTATTCTCTTGATGGTTCTTGCTCTAAGAAAACTCATCCGATAGAGGGCACTTACCTAGAAAGCATTCATTTAGAGGGGGCCCATAACCTTAAGAAGAATTCACTATGGAAGAATTTAGGTTGCCTTTAATAGCATTCAAGTAGGAAATATTCACTCACCATAACTCATCAATATTGACATTACCATGCTAGCCAACTCCTCACTTGAAAGACTTTCTCGCAAAGGCACTCCCCAAAGGTACTTGTTGAAGGCACCCTAGTGTTTTATTAGAGATGGCTATCAGCTTGTAGCTACCTATGTCCTTTTCACATGTTTATAATAGTAAAATTATTGGCTATAAAAATTATGAAATTTTAATAGTGATAAATGAATGAATATTAATTAATGAATTGTATCTTTAATAAATATTTGTTCATTTAAATTTTTAGATTTTCAAATCTGTTTTATAAAAAAATTAGATTTTCAAATCTGTTTTATAAAAAATTATAGGATTTAAAGGATTCAAGTTCCTTTAATGAAATAATTAGTTTACATTTATTACTTTTAAATTTTTAGATCTTGAAATTACGGGTTATCACAATTACAAGAATTTGCATTTTTGGAAATCAAATTCTATACATTAAACTCAACTACTAATAAATTTAAAATGTAAAGTAATTATACACCGCAATATGTTGATATGATTGAGTTGGACTGATTAAGTATGTTCACTAATGATTCAACTATGTGCATTCGCCTGATGGGTTCTTGCCCTAAGAAAACTCATCCGATAGAGGGCACTCGCCCAAAAAGAATTCATTTAGGGGCCCACAATCTTAAGAAGAATTCACTATGGACGAATTTAGGCAATTGCCTTTAATAGAATTCAAGTAGCAAATATTCACTCACCATAACTCAACAATAATGACATTACCATGCTAGCTAACTTCTCACCTGAATGAGTTTCTCGCCAAGGCACTCCCCAAAGGTACTTGTTGAAGGAACCCTTGAGTTTTGTTAGAGATGGCTATCAACTTGTAGCAACCTATGTCCTTTTCACATGTTTATAATAGTAAAATCATGGGTTATCAAAATTATGAAATTTTAATAGTGCTAAATGAATGAACATTAATTAATGAATTGTTTCATTAATAAATATTTGTTCATTTAAATTTTTTGATTTTCAAATCTATTTTATAAAAATTATAGGATTTTAAGGATTGAAGTTTCTTTAATAAAATAATTAGTTAACATTTATTACTTTTAAATTTTTAGATTTTGAGATTACGGGTTATCAAAATTACAAGAATTTGTATTTTTGGAAAGCAAATTCAACACATTAAACTCCACTACTGATATATTTAAAATGGAACAATAATTGCATTTATACGCATTTAATCTTCATGGTTTAAATGATAAACATGCTAGCTGAGGAGTTCTCTCGAGCTGAGACTTATCATGATCAAATTATTTTACTAATTTAACATAAAAGTTAACTTGTATAAACATTGGAGGTTTCATTTGATTTTGTTTATTGAATGAACTATGATCATGTGTAAGTGTGAATTTATTTATGTAAATTAGGGATACTAGCTATCAAATTGAAGCCTATCACATCTTGCATCTAACATGATGAGTACATTTCTATTACAGAATAATAAAATGACAAAAAAACTTATTGAGATACCATAGAATCATAGATAAGATGGCAGAGAGATACACCACTACGTGGCGACGAATGGCGACATATGACTAAAGCACGACGAGATGGTGAATGGAATGAACATAAGAGGAGAACGGGAGTGGCAAACATGAGGAAGTGAGAAAATACAAGCAAACAAAAGGAAAGGGAGAAATATGACCAGACAATCATGAACGATTGTAAATTATTGTGGCTTCCTCCGCAGGATCTCTGACATTTTTTCCTCCATAATTTTGTAAAATAAGGAATTTGTTGCTAGGCTGGATGGCTTCAATATAGTTTTTTCAAAAGTGATGGAACATCATTTACTACAGGAAAAATCATAATTTTTGACTCGCATTCATCTACAAGAAATATTTTGGTGATTTTTCTGGCAGATACACCACATGTAAATTTCTAGAGGCGAAATAGTCAGCCAAGCCGTTAGGTAAATTTTAACCTTCAAAATTTAAAAAAATGAAATTGCGTCGAAAAGTTTCCAGCAAAACAACCGTGGAATATATATATGTCGGCTTACTAGCTTACACTCGAAGGATTTTTCCGGAGGCTAGGTCGTTGAAAAAATTTCACCTCTAACAAGCAAAGGGCCTTTAAATAGATTATCAAGATCACTTAATTTCTTCCATAGAGAGATTCTTCCAAGTTTTCTACAATTTGTATAAATAATAGAACCAATAATATAAACATTTAAAATATTAAATAAGCAATAAACTTAATCTCACTCTTCCAAAAAAACCTAAATTTTACAAGATGAATTTGTTTAGAGGGATAGTCGAAACAAAATTCTCTTTGACAAGTTAAAAGCTTAGAGGCCTCAACCATGAATTCCAAAAGAGCTAAAAATGAAATGTTATGAATCTTGGATAAATTACAAATATGAAAATGGGTATCAAGCCTTCCAACACCTGTAATATTTAAAATTCAAGGCCTAAATATTTTAAACATTTTTGGAAAAAGCATGTGATCGTACTAATTTAACATCAGAAGATAAGGAAAGATGAACTTTTTTTCTTATTATTATTTTTTCCATTTATAAAGTTCCCATAAGTCGTCATTGTGGGTCTCCGAAAGGATTCTGCTCGCGGGGAACGAAAGCAAAGAGTATGATCGCACTATCCCATAAGACAAAATGGTCGTAGGCCTTTACACTCTACGCAAGCAGGCCAATGAGAGAGCATATGAGATTATATGTACAATTAACCATGGAAGATAGTGGCTTTCACCTACACACCTCGATGGATAATAATATATATAACATAATCAAAGCCACGAGATTTCCCACTTTTTTGTACTTTGGATGTCGTCTGTACGAAAAAGGCATCGTACAGTATGATTTGTTCCAAAAAAATCTGGCGTTCGTCGGGACAAAAAGGGATCTATTCAATTCATACTCTTGATGTCGTCTGTATGAACAAGGCATCGTACAGTACGATCCGTTAAAAAAATTTGGCGTTTCTCGAGACAAAAAGGGACCCATCCAATTTTACTCTGGATGTCGTCTGTACGAACAAGGAACCATAAAATATGATCAGTTCAAAAAAAAAAATGGTGTTCAATGGGATGAAAAGGGACCCGTCTAATTCGTACTCTAGACATCGTCTGTACGAAGAACCCTTCATACAGTATGATCAGTACTTAGAAAAATGTTTCTTTTTACAGTTCATTTAACTGCTCGTAGGAGGAAATAATTGAACAAATTGTTTCGTATGAAATGAATTCGTACAATACAATTAGTGGAACTATAATCGGATGGAGGTTGGAAGGACTGTGGTTTGATGACTATGGTTCGAGGTATCATCTTCAGGTAATGGAGGATAGTGGATCTGTAGTTAGATGACGAAGGTCAGAGGGACTATTATTGATCGTTAAAGGCATAGTCAAGCGACGGAGGACCGAGGGACTGTTGTCCAATTATTGAGGTTGAAGTGATCATAGTGTGCCGACAATGAAGGTTATGGGGATCATACTCGATGAGCGATAGAGGTTAGAAAGATCGTGGTCTGGCGACTATGGTCGAAGGGACTATAGCAGGGAGATGAAGGCCATTTGGACTGTAGCTGAGTGAAGGAGGTCAGCGGGACCATAATAAGGTGACTTAGGCTAGAGGGACTGTTGCAGGAGACTGAGGTCAAAAGGAATGTACTAAGGCGATAGTCGACTGAGGATTATAGTCATGTTACAGTGGTTGGAGGGATCATAGTTAGGCAGTAATGTTGAATGGACAGTAGTCGAGCAACAAAGGTCGATCAGGTTGTAGTTGGGTGACAGAGGTTAGAGGAATTATAGATGAGAGATTAAGTTAAGAGGGATCATAGTTAAATGATGGATATCAATGAAATTATATTCTTTTGATAGTGGTCGAAGGGGTTGTTTTCAAGAGACGGTGAATAGACTGACCATAGTCGGGTGATGCTGGTCGAAGGGATTGTAGTAGAGCAAAATAGG